CCAGTTGAGGGCTGAGCCACACCCAGGAGCCGAGACAGTATTCCTGTGGGCTCTTCCTGCACAGCAGCAGCCCTCCCAACTTCCAAACTGGGAGGTGCCGAAAGCTAGTAGGGCCAAAGGCAGGCCCAGCCCTCTTCCCACCCTCCGGGGGGAGAGTGGAGCCATCAAGCCACTCTGGGCTTCCTTGTATGAAAGTGAAGGACTAGAGGACTCAATATCCCAGTGTTTTTCAGTGCTACACTGACTCGCCAGAGCTGGGGAGCCCAAGATCAGCTGGGATCTCAGACAGAGCAGAGACAGGTGAGAAGCCAGGTGCTTGTTCCAGAAGCTACAGGAGGTTGGGAAGAGGAATTGAAGGATGAGCCTTTCTGCTATTGAGTTTCCAGTTTTACCCGCTTCAGCCCCTTCCCGAGCTCTAGGATCCTTACCTTCCAGAAGCACTGGCAAGTTTGGGCCGTAGCAGAATTGAATTGGGATCTCTACCTGCTCACATTCGTTCTTCTCTGGACCCCCCTTTCTAAGGGAAGCCCTTTCTGACTGCAGGCCTAGAGTACTTCTGTCTCTCAGCACATGGAAGGGAAACCTCACCCTGGCTGCTCCCCTCCTCTGCCTTTGGAGTCTTGTGGAGGAAGAAACAGTGCCTGGAAAAAAACACTGTCAACACGAACTCCCTGCAGCAGGCAAGATGGGAAGAACAGCGGAGAGAACCGGGAGCACCTTCCAGGCTGGCCACAGCTCAGCTACAGGCTCCATTCCAGGAAGATCAAGAGCAATGGTAGCTTTAAGAGAAGCATCAGCCCCCAGCCCTACAAACCACAGCCAGCAATCTCCTCCCCCAGGGAGACCCTCACCCCTACTCAGGAAAACCTCAGCTCTTTTCTGACCTGTGGCAACTTTCTTCTAAATATCTTGGTACTCTCCTCACCCCAGCTCCTTGTTTAATTGGAGAAATGCCAAAGTGGTCTTGGGTGGGACACTGCACCCAAACCTCCATCCAAATCACAGTGGCAGACTGCAAAGAGGACACTTTCTCCTAGGTGGAGAAAGCACCTCCCACCCATGTGAGCAGTTCAGCCTGGGGCCAGGAAGGTAGATTTCCCCAGAGCTCAATCAGACCTCTGGGAATCTGAGCCCTCAAACCTGGTCCTCAGTGACAAAGACCTCCACAAAGGCACCAGAGCCTGGGCTCATCTAGCAGGAAGTGGATGAATTGGGCCCAGAGACTGGGAAGCTAGAAAATGAGCCTCATTTGCACAAATCCCAGGGGCCTGGGACAGTGCTTTCCTACAGCAGGCAGGACCCCTTTTATTTCCTCCCCAGTAGGAGCAAAAGGCAAACAGGAAGCTGAACCTGGACCAGTGAAATGCCAACTACCATGTTCTGAGAATCTACAATGTGTCAGTCATTTTGCATGCAAAATCTTGTTTAACTTGCACTGCAACTGTGCAAAGAACTATTATCCTCGCCATTTTACAGAGAAGGAAACTGAAATTAAGCAAGCCCCAAAGCCACATTGAGAATGGAGAAGCTGGAGTATGAACTTTGGGTCTGCCCAGACCTCATTCCCATGCATGCATGGGCCAGCCTTCCTTCAGAGTCACTGCCAGGGTGACGGTGCATACACCATCCAGGAATGGTGCTTTAAGTGAGTGTGGACAAAGTTTTGCTTGATGGCTCTAGAATCTGAATCAATGCCCCCACTAACTATACCATTCCCAAGTGTGTGACTGTGTGAACCCATGTAAGTGTGTGTGTGTGTGCATGCGCACTGGGGTGGAGGAAGGGAGGGTGATCTGGATTCCAAAGAGCAGTTTCCAACACCAAAGTTATGCCGTAATGCTTCTGATTCATAAAATGAGCTCACAGCCTGACTGTAACCTGAATGTTGCTTTGAATGCAAATGCAGATCCCTTGGTACGAAACGGGGATTTCAGCACACTCCACCTAGTTCCAGTCCAGGGTACAAGTTCTAAGGTGTAGAAGAAGTAATCCCTCCAGCCAAATGTGACCACTGGCTGCATTTCCTGTAGTCTGCAGCAGTGAGTCAGGGAAGAATGGCGCCCCACGGTTGCCCCTGCACTGGTACATGTGCACACACACAGGAAGGATGCCAACCGGGCCTGGTCACATGAAATGTCCAGCTTAGCAAATCCAGAGGCAGGAGGCTGCACAACTCTTTCACTGTGAGGCCCCCTTGGGGTCAGGATGACCGAGACACCAGCTCCAGAAGGCCAGCTGCAGGACAGTGCTAGGGAACTGGATTCACCAACACCAGATGGTCCAGATGGTGCAGCATTAAGGACACTCTAGCAGTAGGAGCTCACTGGACCCTCTGCATGCCAGATCTTTTTTTTTTTTCTTTTGACAGTCTCACTCTGTAGCCAGGCTAGCCTCAAACCTGTGAGCTTAAGTGATCCTTTAAGTCTTCCATACTTGCTAGGCAAGTCCCAATTTTTTTTTTTAATGGAAAATTTTTACTCATTCAACTAGCATAGGCTAAACGCTTACTGGATACTAGGCATTGTGAAAACAACATAGCTTAGGCTAGAGTAGAAGTTATGTTTTACATACTCTAACTCAGAATCCTTACAGCAACTCTACAAAGGAAACAAAGAATCCAGGCCTGAGTCTCTGTTTTTAACTATCACATCACTTTGGAGCCAAACTGATGGCATTTGAAATAGGACTAAAAGAATAAGCAGAGATCTTCCAGCCATTGGTGACCAGCTCCACTCTACCATTTACAAAGCTTTCTTCTGTCCCACTGCAAGGCCAAAGATTCCTAGATGGAGTCATTTCTCTTTCAGAACACTATCCCCCACACCCACCACACCCTAATTCTCCTCCCACTGCCTCTTTGTCCAGTGGTCTTGGCTCCAATGTGCTACTTTCCCTTGGGTTCTGCAGCCACAAGAGACCCTCTGCTACATACATAATTGTATGCTGCCTTTTTTTTCCTTTTCTTTATTAGAAGTAGCAGCCCACTAGGGTTATTTTTAAGTTCCATGTTTAAAAGTTAAATTTCCATCTTCCTGGGCACTCCAAGGACATGCTTTCCTGGAGTGGGGTGAGGGGCTGACAAAGTCACAGGGTGTGGGGATTCTGCCCAGGTACTTAGAACAGACTGTTCCAGAGCAAGCTGTAAGTCCGGAGGTGGGGTAGAGGGATTCTTCAGGTTCTTCACCCTTTTGGCCCCTGGGAGCTACACAGACCAGAGAAACCAGCCAGAGGCCAATACAATTACAGTGGAGACTGGACCAGGGCCATGCAGTGAGATGGTTTATCACAGTAATTGAATGTTTATACTCCTATGCACTACACAGAGGGGCAGGCAGGAGAGGTCCCAGAAGTTCTCAGCCTGGGAAAGTTTGACCTTTCCTTTTGGTTCTGAGGTCATCGAACACCTGTGGACAGGGAGCATTTCTCTTATGTTACAGGAACTTGGGCCACACATTTCCTGGGAGGCTCTGGAGCAAGACTGATGGTTTCCTCCCATCATCTGAAGACCCCAAGGTTGAAGTAGCTTCCCCTTCCCGCCATAATTCTCCTTTGCACTTTTCACCAGATCTCCTCAGTTCTAAAACTCCATGGACGGGCCAATCTAAACCTCAGGCCAGTTTCCCTCTGCTGGAGGAAGCCAGACACGTGTCCCCTCCCCAGCCACTGATGCCAAGCATCCCCTGCAAACGCGTGCCACCGTGGCCTTTAGGACCAGCCAAGGCCCAGCTAGTCCTCCCTTACCCCCACCACCTGCACGTGAGCTTCCACAGCCTGGCACACCGTCTCCAGGACGGTGCAAGCAGGAAGTAGTCACCGAAGTTGTGACCAACCAAGTTTTAAATGGGGCAAGGAACTTCCCCTTTCATCTGTCCAGCAGCTCAGACCAGAGGATAGGTTGGAAGACTCAGTGGCCTCCCTTTTGGGTGACTAGCACCTCTACCTTAGAGCTGAAGCCTGAAAACTCCAGGGCGCTAGAGGTTCTCTGGCCTCCCCACTCCTTCCTCCCCCACCCCCGCCCCAGGCCTGGGTGGTCTCACCCTCCCACCCCCCACCCCCGGACACATGCTCCAGTCGGTGTGAATGTGGCGGGTTGGGTTCATTCTACTGAGTCTGCCCTACATGGAGGCTGTGCAAACCGGGGCTCCAGAGTTCCCAATCCCCGGCCGGGCGCCGCGAGGGCTCGGCGGGGCCGCAGCGGGGCCGGGGAGTGCGGGGGCGGGCGAGACGGGTGACAGATCTGGGGTGCGCCTGCAGCACCGGGGCGCGCGGGTACGGCGGCTCTACGCCCGCCCGCGCTCGGCGCTCCAGCCTAGGCCTCCATTGCACTTGCCCCAGTTCCCTGCCCCCGCTGCACCTCTGTCCCCTAGAAGTGCCCCTGGCATCAACACAGCGTCCAAACCCACTTTTGGGGGGAGGAGGATCCCAGGCCAAGTTCTCACAGCTCGCGACTTCCCTCCCTCCACCCTCACCCCCCACCCCCGTCTCGCCTCCCCGGCCTGGGCTCCATCACATCAGCGGGTCCCTGCGGCCACCACGTTTTGCTGCGGTGGAGGAGGGCGCAGCGGCGGCGGCCCCTCGGGGAGGCTGGGGACCCTGCCTGGGTGGGCGGGGGCCGCGCGTGAGCTGCGTAGCTGCACGACCGAGACGGGGTTGGGCTGCACACGCAGCCAGTGAGTGCGGGGTGCGGGCGACGCGGGGGCGGGCTGCGGCGCCCCCCCTCCGCGTGTCGGCCCCCGCGTGTCCCCTCGCAGCCTCCCCCGCCGCCGCCGCCGCCCCGGCCATAGAAGTTGGCGCGCGCAAGCGCACGGCGCCACCACCTCCCCCCCCTCCCGCGACCCGGTACCCGACCCCCGACCCCCAATTCGAGGCCAAGCCTGCAAAACCCCGCGGGGTGAGTGGCCACCGATTGCGCGGCGCCCGGACCGCCCCCCCCCGCGCCTTCCCCCCGCCACTCCGCCGCGTGCAAGGCCTCGGCCGCCCGCCCGGGCAGCCCCACTTACCCCGCTCCTGCCTGAGCAATGGCCTCGGCTGTCCCCCTTCCGCCGCCCGCCCTGGCTTCCAGCCGCCTCCGGGACTCCAGTCGCTTGCACGCACTCTCCGGTTTTAAAAACAAACAGTCGTCGTTGCCGCCTTCCCCACGGCGTTTAAGGGGCTTCCGCCAGCCCGCGCCTCCCAAAGCAAGGAAGTTTGCTGGCAGGGCCCAGGCGGGACAGGCGGGCTGTCACCCCCAAGCCGTGGCGCGCCCTGTGTCCGCACGGTCCGCCTCGAGAGCGCTCTCCCTCCCTCCGTGTCACCCCCAGTCCTGCGATGCAGTGTCAGGATTGCACGGCTCTGACTCATCGGTTGAGCTCACAGCTTGAAAAAAAAAAAGAGTGAGAGAGACAGAGAGACAGAGAGAGGGCGAGAGGCAACAGCGAAGGAGGAGGACTCTGGCGTGCTACAAAGGATTGCACAACTGAGCGAGGCTGGGAGCGCGGAGCGCCCAGCGGCGGGCCGGCGCGCGGCGCGGCGGCGAGCAGGAACCAGCTCTACCACTTCATCAGCACAACTGTCTCGGGCGGCCTCTCCGCCTGCAGGCCTGGCGCCGCCCACTTCCTGCGACCAAATAAGGCCGAGGGAGGCGTCTTTAAACCTCCTCGGGTGGCTGCCCAGGCTGGGGATTTCCAGCAGACCTCACCTCCACTCCCCGAGTCGGTTGTCACCCTCTCTCAGCCCAGGCCGGCGCCCCCAATGGCTTTGCTGGAACCAACAGGCCACGCGGTTTGTTCCTTGCACACCAAGGTCAGGAGGAGATGGTGACGAAATGTTTGGAAACCCATGGAGCCTGCCAGGAAAGTGTGTGTGTGTGTGTGTGTGTGTGTGTGTGTGTGTGTGTGTGTGTGTGTGTGTGTGTGTGTGTGTGTGTTTGCACACAAGTCGCTTTCTTCCACAAAGAAGATGCTGCTGCTGGATGAGGGGAAATCATGCACAATCCTCTCCAAGTCACTTTAGTAAACAACCTCTGGCCCACCAGTCTCCCAGCAGTTTGTAAAGGTTACGGACAAACAGTCCCAGCCCCTATACAGTAGCCAACAAGGCCCTTACAAGAGATGAAAAGCTCCTGGGTTGAAGCCTAGCAATTCAGGCCATTTCCCACCCTGCCTACCGTAAATAGCCCCAAATATTTTTCTGGCCTGTTGGCCTGAGTGGCAAAAGATAGGAAACAATTTCTGCAGCTCAGCTCAGGGAGGTCTTAACAGGGCCAAGGCAAAGTCAAATGAGGAGACTTTGCTCTTCCTTCTGTGCATTTTGGTGTTGCTTTTTAAGATGAGTCAGAAAGAGATTTTCCTTTGAAGGAAAAACCAGCAAAGAATATACTGTATACTGGTAGCCACTTTCCCTTGAGGTCAGTCCTAAGAGCTAGAAACATCTCTGCTTTCTCAGGGAAAAGAGAGAAGTGGGGGCTGGGGAAGGGAGGGAGGGAGGGAGGAAAGAAGAACAGGATTCTTTTTTTTTCTTTTTTGCCAGTCCTAGGTCTCGAACTCAGGGCCTGGGCACAGTCCCTGAGCTTCCTTTGCTTGAGGCTAGCATTCTATCCCTTGAGCCACAGGGCCACTTCTAGCTTTTGTTTATGTGGTATTAAGGAATTGAACCCAGGACTTCATGCATGCTAGGCAAGCACTCTACCACTAAGCCACATTCCCAGCCCAAGAATAGGATTCTTATGCACACCCTGAGTCTGCAGGGCGTGGGCCTTCACCCCTCCTAGGGAGTAGATGACATAGACAACATATAGCCCCTCTGCCTAGAAACCCCATAAAACCTAAACTTGCTCCTAAGAGACATGACTTTTTCTTGTCATCTGCCCTCTTCTTCCCTTGACTGGCTGGAGTATTGGTGACCACCTAGAAGCCTCATCCAAAGGACAAGGGCTTATTTGACCTATGTTATGACAGATATGTCAAAGTGATGACCACTTAAAACAGTCTTATCTACAAAATACCACTTATTATGCCAGGAACCAGACTAGATGACCTCTTGAAATACCTTCTAGTTTAAGATACATGATTCTGCTGGGTGCTGGTGACTCATGCCTATAATCTTAGCCACACAGGAGGCTGAGATCTAAGGATCACAGTTTGAAGCCAGCCCAGGCAAGAAAGGCCATGAACTGCTTATCTTCAATAAACTACTCAGAAAAAGTCAGAAGTGGTGCTGTGGCTCAAGTGGTAGAGTGTTGCTCTTAAGAAAAAGGATTTCAAGGACAGCACCCAGACCCTGAGTTCAAACCTCAGGACAAAAAAAAAAAAAGATCCATGACTCTGATTTTTAAAAAAGAAATATGGAAAAACTGGGGAAACCCAGTTCTGCAAAGAAAAGCTCAGCTCAGACTCCCAGATCAAACATCCATACACAGTATTCTTGATATAGCTCAAGTACTTCCCCATAAGCTAGTGAACAACTGTGTGATCTTTATCCCTCTCATACAACAGAGAAGAACATGAGTTTGCAGAGATTGGGTGTTTATGCAAGGCCATGGGGCAAGTCAATCATGTATCACCTCTCTTCTCTGCTCTTCTTCCAGTCTCCCACAGAGTAAGGAAATAAGCAACTGAGGGACAGCAGTGTACAGGCCCAGTAGAGACTAGAAGGTCAGGATTCCTGGCAGAAGCGGGGTCCAAAATCTTTTTGCTTTTTTTGTTTGTTTGGTTTCTTCCCTCCTACTGACAGTTCATCCAGATGAGGAAAACAACAAGCAGCCACTTGGCTTCCAATGCCCACTGCTACTAGGTTCTTCGGCAGACCTGTAAGGCATCCTGACTTGTAAAGGCCCAGCCCCTTCAGTTAGCCTAGGGCTAGCCCAGAGGGGGCCCCTGAGAGAGAATGCAGACTAGCCAGGGACATTCCCAACCAACCAGAAAACCCAGCTGGGGAGCACATTCCTAGAAGCGCCTGCCACCATAGAGCCAGGGCCCAGCCTCCAGGGAAGAAGTGGGAGCCACTCCAAAGAGTACTGCTCTGCCCAATCCTGCCAGGACTTCTTCCCTTCCCAGACCAGCTGTGGGGTTTGGCCCAGGAACAAGGCAGCGAACAGAGGCAGGTGGCCAGATGTAGGGACCCTTGAAGCAGCCATACTCCTTCACCTCAACTAAACTATATGCAGGCCGCCTCAGCAAGGAGGGGAGGGAGGGCTGAAGACAATTCCAATTGGCAGAAGTCTGTCTCCCAACAGTGGGCAGATGAGAAGGTAGAAAGGAAGCTGTGGCCTTTCTGGGAAAGCCCTGGAGGTCAGTCTTGCTGCAGATAAGACAATGCAAAAAGATAATCACTGACTTATGAAGTGAAAGTTTTGGATGTAGAAACTCTAGCCTCTTCTACAAGCCTCTTAGGCAACCAAGAAGGTGAAATGTAAGGACTAGGGGTTTAGGGAGGTGTTCCTGAGACCTTACCTATAGAGTGCTATTTTCTCCTCCATCCTACTTCTCCACAAACTGCGAAGAAGAGAGGTGTATAGCACTCCACTTCCTAGGGGTGTCTGCTGAGAAATACTCCAGGAAGCAAAGCATCCTGGATCAGGACTCCAAACCCTAGGTCCAACAAAAGGTCGAGTGTGGTATTATAGAGGCTTCCTAGGTCTGGGTCAACTCTCTAGACTCTGCTCAGAGTGCAGTGCCCGGAGTGGTTCAAGCCATAAAATCTTCCCAGGGCGAATTTTATGCCCTGTATGTTCTATCTCAATAAAGCTGTTATAAAGAAGGGTGGGGGGAAGCTTCCAAGGAAACCAGGGTCTCACCACTTACCCACCCACCTCCATTAATTTCCTGCTGCCATGGCTCATGATTTACATGAGGCTTTGTCCTCAGTCCCTACGCCTGCATTCCTGTTCCTATTCCTCTTCCTGTCAGGATCTTTCCATGAAGGCCATATGGGGTGTGTAAATGAACCATTAATCTTTACTTAATTTGAGGAATTAGGGGTACCAGTGCCAGGTTCTTGTGACCCTGATGTGCTTCCATTCCTATAGTCATTCCCCTTTGCAGAAGCAGGACTTCATTGCCTTCAGTTTGCAAGAGGCGAAAGAACATTATGGAAAGAACAGAGAACCAAGATTGAGAATCAGGGCTGTCTGAAACCAACCTGTTGCATGATCTGAAGTCAGTGGTCAGTAATTCTTCGAACTTCATCGTTTTGGGCCCATAACAGTTGCACCATGTTTATTGTATGAATAATGAAAGAGTATCCACCTTCTAGGTCTGAGAAGATCATACTGGTCCTAAAAACTGCTTTAATGGCCGGGTGCTGGTGGTTCATACCTGTAACCCTAGCCACTCAGGAAGCTGAAATCTGAGGATAACAGTTCAAAGCCAGCCCCGGCAAGAAAGTCTGTGAGACTCTTATCTACAATTAAACACTAGAAAATTGGAAGTGGTGCTGTGGTTCAAAGTAGTAGAGGGTTAGTCTTGAGCAAAAGACCTCAGGGATAACACCCAGGCCCTGAGTTCAAGCCCAACAACCAAAAAAAAAAACAAAAAGAAAAAGAAAAAAAATCTGCTTTGCCGCTGCATCATGCTATGAACAAATAAGTTACAACTGTTATTTCTCCATAGTTCCTCCTCCCAAAATGTAGGTTCTCCCTTTCAAGAATCAAGTTCCAGAGATCTTTTTGCCCCTGCCAGAGGCCTTACTGGCCTCAAAGACTGCACAATATGAACTTAGTGTCCTGTCTGTCTGAAGTGTCCTGCCGAGAGTGCTCTCCAACCCTTGCTCTTTGTGCTTCTTCCTCCACAGCTTTCCATAATGTAGTCCTGCTGGACTGAATAGGGACCCCTTTGATGGCTGCCTTCTCCTCATCCCTGTTTGCCAGGTCCATTGTAAGGGAACAGGGAGCTCAAAACTTGTTCAGTTAAGTTACTGTACTGCAAAGTTCCTGCACTCTCTTCTCTTTTACCCTTGAGAACCTAGGGACCTTCCTTCTCAGTTCAAATTTACTTCACCTGTTCAGGGGCAGGGCCCCAGCCTGCCACACCAGCCCACAGCTGTCTGCATCCCTTGGTCTTCCCATTGGCCCTTCCTGACACCCTCTCCTTTGAGCTGGGCCAGGTTCTGAGTGCCTTTGTTAGGTCTGAGAAGGAACTTCTGTAGATGTCCCCAGTTGCTGCTGTCACTCTGGAAGAGACGTCTGGCTGGGTGTAGGAAGAAGGACAAAACAGGTGTGACTGCCAGGGAGGGCCGGCCAGCAGGGCCTTGGGACAGAAAGACCCTTTCATCAGAGAACAAGAGCTGCCAGCTTCAGCACAGTTCCAAACCCCCTGCAGAACCGTCCCTGAGCAGACTCCCCTGCTGGCTGTTCTCTGGAGCCTGGCTTCAGTTTGTGGCTCTGG